AATTAGTTACTTACTTTACGATCGAGAAGAAGTTGTTCTGGTAAACATCGTGTTCCATTATCACATTTAAATCGATAAGTAAGATTAAATAAACATGTATTTGGATGATTTTCATCTTCTTCATTGGCACAATCAGCAATCCCATCTAATAATCGATGATAAGATAAACATTTACTTTGATCATTACATTGAAATAATGAACATTGATTTATCTGATTATCTTGTGGGAGAAGTGAACATGATCTTGTAAAACGTTTGACATCTTTTAACATATCATCAAAACTAATATATATTTTATCGGTAAATGTTTCGAATAAACGACATGTTAATTGATTTGTTGATTCATTTTCACTAATAAGATATGGACATATTGTCTGATTAAAACAAATCATTTCTGGTTTTGTATTATTATAAATTAAATGAATATGTGAATATAATATCAGTGTTGATGATGGCATTTGATTGAAATAGAATCGATCTCGTTGAGTTCGACATCGATCATTGTGTTGAACATTTGGTCCATCATAACAATGACCATCTCCACAGGAAAATAGTAATGAAGGACATGCATAGTTTTCACAGTATGTAAGATAATCTAAAATTTCACATTCTTTCGTAAAAAGTTTGTTCTCATCAGATTCATCCATACAGTCAGCATGATAATTTGCATAGAGTACTTTATCAATACATTGTGCATTAGAACAACGATATTCAGTTGCTATATTACATTCATTCATTTCAAGTTCATGGCAATAATATTCATCGAGTCCATTACTACAGTCAACTTTACCTTAAAAAAAAAAGAAAATATAGAGAATAATTCTTACAGAAAATTTGTTTTATACTAACCATCACATATTTCACGCCAATCTAAGCAAATAATAGAATTACATTCACCATAATCCATAATATAACAAGTGCCAGTCGTAATGGATAATACATCGCCATTTGTTTCTTTTTTTTCGCTCCCTTCGTTCTTTGATAAGATTTGGCAAAGATTCGCTTGAATCAAATGTATATTCACATTGTATTCCAAACCAAAGATCAGAACAATTGAA